AAAATCTTGAATACTCCTATGTTGTTGGGAAATATATTTAATGATTATACCAATACAAAGTTATCATTTATTAAATATCAACCATGCTGTCATCAAGTTGTCCCAGATAGAAAGGTTTAGTGTGACTAAAATATCTTTACAGATAAAAGAGGGTGCATTAATGATAATTCTGAGAATGTTTACTATAAATTTCTAATAATTATTCACTTGATAAATTTATTTTGTTCACTTAGAAATTTGAATTTTAACAATAGAATTTTATATTAAGCATTATGCAAACCTTGCAGAAGTATTATAAAAGATTTTTTTTAGGCAAAGTATTTCTATTATCTATCCATTTGAAAAAAGTATCTCTTAACAATTCTGTTTATTACTATTTTCCTATTTTTGGGTAAAGAATATTTATATAATTAGTAGTTATTATCTCACAACTATATAAAAATATCATAGGTTTAATTAATTTATTTTTTGTTTAATGAAACTTATATTAAGTAAATAATATGCTTTTTAAATTTATTATTTTCAAATTGTATTAAACAGTTGAAAATGCGGAAGAAATATGTAAATTTATATTTTCTTAATATATACACGCATATAATATGAAAGTATAACTTAAACAGTTTTTTACCTTAAATAAAATAAAATTACAAAATAGCAATATAAATTCAGACAATATCCGGCAAAAATAAGACAGGAAGTGGATCTAACTGATAATGAGGTTATAAAAACAAATATTCCAAGTGCTCCTGAATAAAAAATTTAGTTCAGATTTTTGATAAAATATCAGCGAAATAAAGAGTTATTACAGTTTGCAAAATACTTCTACTAAATACTTCAAATTTTATAAAAAATATTTTTATATCATTTATCTCTATTTAATTAGAATATATAATAAAAAAATAAAATTTAAATAATAAAATTTAAATAATAAAATTAAAATAATTAAAATTTAAATAATAAAATTAAAATAATTAAAATTTAAATAATAAAATTAAAATAATTAAAATTTATAAACATCTAATTATTTTTGCTTCAAACGGTTAGTTATGGCATCGAAATTAGACTTAATTGCGATATGGTTATAACATATGCTTGCTTTTAGCTCTGTTAGATTTCTGTCGACTCAAAAGGTTACATCTCCCTAAATGATGTAGAGATTGATTTTAAAGGCACATACAAAATATAATGACACCATATTTCTTGCCTTAACTACTGGAATTCATTCAACACTTGAGTCAACTGGACTTTGCAGGGCAGATGGTAAACATTCTCCATAGAAAAGTAGTAGGTTGTTAATATGGGATATTATTTGGTGTAGATGCACTGGCACAGTCCTACCTAAAATAATGCTATCGACGCCAAAGGAAATTTTGCCAAATATTACTTTGTTTTACCTTCCAGCCATTTATTCATATCAATAATTGCTGCAATGTTAACTTGCAGGCACTCTCGCCCTAGTCTTCTTCAGGGATCTAGAGCATCCCATTTAAAAGAAAGACCGAAAATATAAACGAAGACCTATTTTAATCAAAGAATAGGAATTAATATAATTTGAGATAGCTACATCCATTATAGATTATCCGTTGATGTATAATGAATAAATTTATAAATTGTAAAATTAATACGAATTAAAAATAAAATAAAATAATAAAGATTAAAATTGCTTTTCTTAATTTTATTTACTTTTATTTTAAATGGTAGAAGATATTAAAGCTAAAAGTAAATTAATATATATACATTTCATATAACTGACAAGTTTTGATTTATATTCTCTATTTAATATTCTTCTTAAACTATGTTTGATAAAGAAGTATCCTCTATTATGGAGTAGGGGTTTATGAGACAATAACTTATATTTTATAAGGATATAGAGCTATTTTAATTATTATAGTTTTTGGCTCAAATGAATTATGATATGGGGGAATCTATTAACTTTATATAAATAAATTTATTAATTACTCTTTCACTCTAAGTTTATAACAAAAATTTTTTTATTTGAAAGCCAGAATTTCTATTATAATAGTGTTTGGCAGTTTAATCCGGAATTTTAATGATTAAATTAATATTCACACTTATAAATATAATAAAAATAAAATGAAAGAGAGAAAGAAAGAAAAGAAAAGAAAAGAAAAGAAAAGAAAAGAAAAGAAAAGAAAAGAAAAGAAAAGAAAAGAAAAGAAAAGAAAAGAAAAGAAAAGAAAAGAAAAGAAAAGAAAAGAAAAGAAAAAAAGATGTCTTATCTCTTTTCCTTAAAATTTAACAACCTTGCTTTAACTTCATGGATAGTTATATTAAAAGATTTTAATATCAGTATGTACTAATATAAATAGAGGCCACATCTGTAATCTTAGGCGGCAACTCGCTGAGAAATGATCTTATATTGGAATAGGAGGATAGAGAGCATCAATATATTACTTATTTGTTTCTATATATATAAATAAAACTTATCACCCTTAGAATAATTATTTCAAAATCTTAATGTTAGTCATATTATTTTTGCATTATTTAATTTTAGAACCTCGCGCTGATATAAGTAGATATACTAATTTTTTGCTATAATTTCTAAAAATAATAATTAAAATTTGCCAAATGTGTTTTAAAATAAATTTTGCGGCATCGGGAAGTTAAAGTTTCTCGAGCAAAAAAATGAGATAATATTGGTATTAATGATATTCGGTTATTATTTTGTATGATCATAGTATTTAAGGTTTTGAAGTATTTCCATTTGAATTGGAAAGGATATTGCTCTAATCTAAACTACAAATGAAAAGATATTGGTATCAGTGCTCTTATATTCGGTTATTGTTTTGTATGATCAGTAATGCGATTCCAATTTGTTTGAGTCAAGTTTATAAAATAACAGTCGTTTCAAAATATATTTTGCTCCATAGCCACAAAAAGATAAAATGATATTTACTTATAAATATCCAAATTAATTAGTTCTAAATAAGGTTGCCTATATGTAATTAGCATTTGATTTTATATTTCCAAGTATTTGAATAGGGGATAATGTTCTGATCTAAACTATATTATGTTGAAAACAGAAAAAGATTGATATTTAATAAGATAGGTAAAATAATAGATTGTGATAGATATTATAATATTTATTAAAATTTTATATTTGTAATATTTCATTATTTTAGGGAAGAAATACGAACGTCTTAGTATAATATTTTCTGTTAAAATAAATTTATATTAAATTTAAACGCTTAAATATTATTAAAAACTAGTTAAATTTTTCACCAGAAGTAAATAATAATATTTATTTGTGATATAAAGTAAAACTCAGTATAGTGACTTAAATAATCTTGGATAATGATATAAAGCATTAGTAATCATATAGTAATTTTCTAAACAACTACCAATTTGGCTAAGCTGATAAAATTTTATTAAAGTGCAATAACCAATTTTGCCCATAGTTTCACATTAAATAAGTAATCATGATATGATCCAATTAAAAATTTATAACAGATATCAAAACACAATTGTATATAAAAAAATTGTTATAGAAATGTAAAAGCCTTAATTGACATTGGGAATAATTTGATATAGGTGCAGCACAGACAATAAAAATGTTCTGAAAAAAAGGTACAGACCGGGAAATTAGTGAAAAATATAATCAGACTTAGTCGTGCTGGTAAAAAATTTAAATTAAGGGCTGGACAATTTTTAAAAAATTTTTAGTGACGGGGCTTAACTTTCAGATTTCTGTATAAGAATAAATGATGATACTAGTTAATATTTTAATAAAAACACTTAATACAAAAATGTTTAAACTATACAGTGGCGTAGCTACTGGGGTGGTTTTCGGGTTTTGACCCCTCCCAGAGCAAATTTTTAGATTATACGTTCAAAAGACTTAAAAGTGATTTTATATGAATTATATTTTTCTGGCTTTGATGTTTGTGGAAGGATATTATATTACTATTGAAATTATTCTGGATAGTATAATTATAAAGTCATTGAGAGTAATCTACTAAATTATAATAACATATTATTGATGCATTTAAAAAATATATTTATTATATATTATCGAAGATATGGTTATGATTTGTAAGATAAACCCGGCCGAAGGCCGAGCAAAAGGGCCGAAGGCCCGTTAAATTGGGTCTGAGGGGCTTCGCCCCAAGATTTTATATGTATGGACCCCCTCTAAGGAAAATTTCTAGCTACGCCACTGAAACTATACATAATTGCCCGATAATTTTAGCAATTAATATTATTTAGACTTCCCTCTCCACTACACTTTTAACATATAAAATTATCCTCGTAGATTTATATTTTTATATTTAAAATTAAGTTAGTTTTAATTTCAGATCTAAATTCCTGAATTAACATTTATATTTTAAAGCAATAAATTTTTAACTTTTCACACTAACTATAATATATTTTGTATGATTCTTACTAGAATGTAATTTACTTCATGTAATTATCATATGGTGGATAGTTTAATCTTTATAAATAAATATTATATATATGTTTCTAATTACCTCGAAATTTGTCTTTAAATATATTATATTATAAAAGACTACCAAGGTATTTAAAAACTTTTATATATATAAATAAAATTTAAATTAGTATTGATAAAATACATCTTTTTTTTTAAATTTTCATTATTTAATAAATAATAATATATTAATTTGTAAAAAGAAAGGTTTTAAATAAATATTAAAAGTGTTAAAATTATCATGATGAAATTTACCCATTTAATGGAGTATTATCATTAAAAATTATTTTTTATTTTCGAGATAATTTGGTAACATATTAATTTATTATTTTTCAATATGTATGATTTGTAGTTATCTTTTTTTACATAATAATATAAAAATTAAGAGTAGTGACAAAAATATTGATGATAGAAATATACATGTATATAATCGGCGTATGAATGTATCACTATAATTATTATGTATTTATTATAATTGATGCTATTTCGAATTCATATAATATATCTAAACAATAAGTTTAAAAAAATATTTATATTAAATAATTTACATATGAAACTATATTAAATATCTATGGTCAACCTTTATCGGAGGAACTCTTTTCGTTGTTCTTTTGTGAGTTGATTGATTTGAGAACCTAGATTTCTAAAAAAATTTAGTACTATGGTAAGTGGGGTCAAAATTATTGGTATGATAAAACGGTTGCTAGAAATTTCTGTATATTTTGAGATTTTATGTTATATGTAGACTAGGATGTTGAGGATTGATTAGAAGGAATAAGGATGCCTAATAAATTGGCCATTACAGGAACGACAATATAAACTATATCTTCCCTTCATACTCACGGATGAATTACAACCTAAGCATGTGTGTGGGGATGGGTGATGGAGTAGTTAAGACAAATACCATAAGATAATAGAATTGAGGTTGGATTGACAGAGGGAAGAGTTTAAAACTCATGTCCGGTTGGAATTGAGGAAGGTTCATGTTGCCTTATTTATTTATATAAGATATCCTAGATGGGTACATTTTGAGCCGTTAATTTGAAATCAAAAGAGTGTTAGGAAAATTTAAATTTAATTGAATAAATTCGAATTTACTTTCGCGAATAATGAATTTTTTAATTTCAAAGCTGGGACAACTCAACATTCCGTCAACGATATATAAAAAATAGCAATATTTTTAAAAATAAATTAAGAATTTGGAGTAATATTTGCCAAAAATTGGTAATGATGGATGGTACTCAGTTATAAAAATAAGACATTCTTTAATTATTACTAAAAAAAAATTCTGATTTCACAAAATATGTTTTTTTAGTAAATTTTAAGCTGAGATTCTTTGACTTTAAATTTTAATTATATCTATTTTGTTAAAATATATTAAAGATCCATTTCCAATAAGAAGTTTCAATATTCTGCTTTATTATTTATATTATATAAATGCATTTATATTCATTTTATCCTTTTGATTAACTATTAGAAATAATTAACTAAAGACAAATTTTGAATTAATTTATAATCATTCTTTCTTTCAAAGTTCCTAAGAATATTTGTAAAATTAAATAAAATTTTTATTCTTTGTATAGGTGAAGATTTAAAAGTTTTTGGCATATTCAAGAACTAACAATTTATTTTTCATTTTAGAAATATAAGAAATAAGTAAAACTTATTTTATTGGGTAATTTTGAATGCCAAACAAAATTATAATATCATAATTATTAATAAAATTATTCCTATGCAAGAATCTTGAGTAGTTTATATATATTTTTGGTAAAATAAATTAATAATAATTAAAATAATAAAAAGGTTTAATAATTGAATTTTTTTATTTGGAAATTTTGTGTCAAATTATATAAAATATTAGTCTCCTAATAGGAGTGGAACATCAAATATAGGAAATAAAACTTACTTAAAGATTATACATTTTTTACGTTGACTGAAATAGGTTTTAGACTATAATCATGATTTGGACTAAATAGTAAAAGATTTAAAATTCTTTTATCACATAATATAGAATATTAATTGGAATTCGGGGATAAAATTCCTTTAGATAACCGTTTTTTATACAGTAACTAAATTTTTATTTTATAAGAGAAAGATATCAAGAATATAAGTAATAATATATAAAAATCAATCATCACCTAAATTTGAATCCTTTATATTTTTGTTTTATATTTAGAAATATTTATGGGACAAAGTAAATAATATCATTATGTTACTTTAATTTTATAGGTTGGAAAAATTTTAATAATATATTTTATTATTCATTGCAAATATGAATACGAATAGCAAATAAAGAATGCACTATTCTATTTGCAAGCGTTTTTTGAATAGGGCCCAGCATAAATATATATTTGTTTTCTACTTTAAAATTAATTTTTCCAAATCACCTTAGTCGCAAATATAGAAATGCCAAGTAAAACAAATTTTTTTATTATATTTTTACATGAAATATACTGTAAAAAAAACGAATAAATTAATTTTTCCAATCAGAAATGTCATGTAAAACAATTTTTTTATAATATTTTTACATGAAATATATTTTTTAAAAAAAAGAAAGAATACCTATTTGAATTCAACTTTCATAACTCGAAAGATTTATATGCCAAAATATATCTTCGGTAATTTTATTCTACCCAACAAAATTAATGCTCGGCCATTTTAATTATTTATCTAAATTTTAAAAAAATAGCTAATATATAATATATATCAGAGACCTTTCAGAGGTACCAATTTGCACGGATCGCATTAAAAAATTTCCTGTCGCTCAGCCCGGTTTTTTTTCAAAAATTTTTCCGGCCCGGTTTTAAAAATATTAGGCCCGGCCCGGATATTAAAAATTTGGGGGCCTGGCCCGGCCTGGATTTAAAAAAAAAAATTTTTTTAGGCCGGGCTCAGAATTTTTTAAAATAATATTTAACCTGGCATATACAAAAAATTCATCTATCTGGGTATTTTATCATATTTTTCGGCGAGTATTATCATTTAATGAGCAAGCATATTAGCTAATGTTGTTAGCCGATTTTTAAAAACGGCTAACTCAATGTTTTCGCCAGAAAAATATTAACTAAACCTCGAAATTTTGATACTATATGTCTAGACCTTTGCTCATTTTATGAGCAAAATTTTCAGGCTTGCGTAATATTTTTCTGGATAAAAAACTGAGTTAGCCATTTTTAAATATCAGCTCAAAACGAGTCGTTTAATAAAACTACTACATATTTTATTTTATTTTTTATTCTAAACACATATTTAGTATATATTGATACTATAAAAAATTTGTTTTAAATAGCATTTTGAGAATATACTATATTAATTGTATTTATAAAAAAAAATGAAACTGATATTTTAATTAATAAAAAATATAACATATATTATATAATAAATGTATTTAATCCTTTGCCCATTTATTCCATGACAGGAAAACTATAATTTTATTATGTAATATATACTATGAGTGTTAGCTAGTGTTAACTTTCACCAAACATTATATAAATCATAACTATGTATAATCATTATGACCATATCTAATTGACGAATATAATAATTCATGTTGTATAAATTTTTAAAAAAATACGGCCCGACTCGCCCCGGTATTTTAAAAAATCCGGCTCACCCCGGCACGGATTTTTTTAAAAGAAATTTATTATGCCCGGCCCGGGTATATTTTAAAAATTTAAAAAACGGCCCAGCCCGGGCCGGATTATCAGGTCTCTGATATATATATATATTAAGTATATATTTTATATAAAGGTAAGAATTAAAAAAAATTTGACGATTTGGAAGAAGTGAGTAACTGTTTTAAAATATTACAAATGCTTAGAAAATGTCTCTTGCAACAGTGTTGTATCAAGTCAAATATGCTCAGCCATTTTCAATTATATAATAAATAATAATTATATCTACTAATATTTACTTAAGCCATTCTGCGTATTTAATTTTAAATAACCACGAAACAACATTACCGTTATAATGATCCCTGATAGAGTAACGGAGAAAAACTGATATCTTATTTTCCAGCATCATATGAAGGAATATTTGGAAAATACTAAATATAAGGCTTTTAATTGCGATAATGAATGAACATTTAATAGTATTGTATTGATATAAAGGCAATTAAAATTAAATATGTCTGAAAAATCACTACAGTAAGAAAAGAGATAATTCTAAAATAGATTAGCATCACTCAAAATTTTAAATCATAATTTTTATCTGTTCTTCAAAAAGGAAGAAGACTGAACTGGGGAATAAGCATATAATTTGTTAATAGATCACTACTACATTCGACTCATTATAAAATTAGTTTAGTATTCAACGCCAGGTTATGTCAATGACTATCGTCTAACGTCGTTGTTAAGTTTCTATAAAACTTAAGTTTGACCCCATAAATAATTTCGGAAATAGTTGAGGGAAGCTTTCTCTATGCTGTTAACAAACTATCAATTTGTTGTTATATGTAATAAACCTATTTATATTTCTATTTTTAATTTTATTTTAATTCATATTAGAAACAAAAGCCCCTAAAATCCCAAAGTATTACATTTATCCTTAAAATATTTAAAATCTGATTTTTTTTATTAATGAATATTTATTTAATTTTTGTTATTTTTAAATTTATTACTGAATATTTTAAACTAATTTTTACTCATATTTCTCTATACTGGTATTTATTTCTTTTTCATATATTTTCAATCAGCCTAAAATATTATATTTAAATTCCTAATCTCTTGAAATTATTTTTCCTCTCTGTTAATATACCCACTCCACCCTATTTTTCCTTAATTTATTGTCTTTTTTTTTATATGTTAGAAACTCACTATTTGATTCCTTGTCTCTCTGCATTATTTTCTTTATATATTTTGGCATAAATTCCTCACTAACTTGACTTTTATGACATAAGTAAAATTCATATCTCTTATTTATAGAGTTTTCTATTATTGATTCATAATTACTACAAATTTATATTTATGGCCCCCTATATTATAACATGCTTTAAAACCTAGATTCAAACTTATATGTTGTAAGCATTTATCGACTTATTTTAGCATCTTGCACTCCTCTATAATATATACAATAGCAATAATTGCATAGTAATTACTATCTTTCTGAGTCTTTTATGAAGCAACGTCAAGATTCCCAACTATTCTAAATTTAGATAGATTTCATTTCTTTTTGCAGAAATGTTTATGATAATGTAATATTTTTCCATTTCTTTCTCCTAAAATAAATATTAACAATAAAGCAATATTTATAAAAAATAAAATGAATTTTTAATGCCCAAGGCCATTAGGGAAACATGATTTTCAGTGACGAATAAAATTAATATAATTTTAAAAAATTTTATGAAATCTATCCAGTGAACAGTAATATTTACAAGTCATTTTATTTGAAATATGTATACTAGAGTGAAAACTACAGACAATTCTTTTATAAATAGCATAATTATTTTTGTTAAATATCTAAATAGTCTAAATCAAAATAATGATCCACGTATAAGGTAAATAACAAATTTCGGCAAGAATAAGTTCCATAAAATAATTGCTAAATCATTTAAAAAATTATAGCAAAATCCTTAATTTATTGATCCCCTATTTTAAATCATATAGAAAATAGGAAAAACTTAATTATTTACCACTTTGGATATATAATCTAAAAAGTAACTAAATATGATTAATTTCCAAGGTTCATTTAAGCAAAAAGACATTAGATTATTTAAAGGCTCTTTTTTCCAACAATTTTATGCTTCAAAAATTTATTAGTTTTGTTATTTATAATCAGCTCTAGAGTTTTGATGTATTAAAGTCATAATTATTGTATTATTATTTTGTTTATCATTTCTCAATTTTTTTTTCATATTAAAATATTAAAAATTTTAGAATTTTCAAGTAAAACTAATAATTACATAACTTTTAACCCAAATCTTTTTAAAGAATTAATTTTATTCCTTAACATAATTGATATGAATTTATATATCAATGATAATTTGTAAACAATACTAATTTGAAGGGTTAAGGTAAATAAGTTAAATAAAAAATAGTATTTCAAATATAAAATAATGCCAGTTTAAAAGAAGGAATTAAATAATTTGAATTATTTTTCTTAATCAATTTAAGAAAAGACGGTCTATTTTTAGAAACCATGTTACGTGGATTTTCAATATGAGCACAAATATTTTGTATTTGCAAACTCCTGTACATTCTTAGCTGAATCATTTAGAAAAACTCTTGGGGAAAAATATAATTGTTTATCAATGGTTCCCCATTAATTCAATACTCTGGCTAATCGTCTTTGACAATACCCGCGAAGCAATAGAGTTTTTCTGTTTTATTTGGGAAAACGATGAGATATAACGGCACCCAAACCGAAATTGGAGGCATTAGCAGGGAGAATTAAGGTCGTGATTATAACGTTATCCAAAGAAGATCCGCTTAGTTTTTTTTAAAAAAAAAAATTATTAAATGCATTATCATAAATCTCTGATCATACCCATCGGAAATTTCTTTGTAATACATCATACAATTAAAGCACATTTATTGTAAAATGAAATGAAACGATAATAATATATAAGAAATTTATTAAATAACTGCAACTTGTTAAAATTATTTATGGCGTATAGTAAGCATGCTTTCTTTGGTTTGCAATCCGTCATATGTCCTGAATATTTTATTACTTCTGTCTTAAAAAGAATTCTTTCAATATATAATTTCAATTGCACTCTTATATTATTAATACCTCATAGTAACTTTATATAGTGTTCCAAGTTTTTCATAAAACAATAATAACATCTGGATAAACATATGTCCCGGGTATGTTTAACGAATAGAAAATATATTTAAAATTAGGCAGGTTTAGGCGAATTATGAATACTATTATATCGAAAAAAAGACAAAATAGTGTATTGATCACTGACAATTTTTTTTTGTTCACCATCTAATTCGAGCTGTAGATATTCTCGAAAATATCTTATTTTACCCAATCTGATTAAAAATGTCTTGATTTGTAAGCAATTGGTACTTATCTATCATATGGTATTCGATGATAGTATATATGAAAATTCTCTGTAAATTAAGATAGTACTATCTAGAGGTCCGCAATGCGGGTGATCAAGACGTTTACCCACCCAAGGTATACCGGATCATCGAGATTTACAAGGTGAGAATAATTCCTAATATGTGTTACCAAAATGACGGGTCCAGCTGGTTTGCTTTTTTACGACGCCAAAAAATATTCGATACTCTCTCAATTTTAGAGAGCGAATATAATATCAATTGGGGTATCTCACCCCCACTATAACCAATTATAATATCAAAACTCAAAAAATTGGCTTTAAATAATTTTAAGTTTTGTAAGCCGTTATTGATTCAATCCTAGAAGCCATAGACAAAAGGTATACAGTTCAAATATTGCTTATAATTTATATTTTGACTATCATATTTTCAATAGATTTAAACACATCTATGATGATAAATATATACTATCGGCAATACCTATTATTTAAATTGGATTGGCCCTGGATAAAATACGAGGTCAATAAAGGAAGAATACTAGAAGTTATTTCCAGTTTGAGAAAAGATATTGATAAAGAAAGAACAGGCTTGATTCCTTTATCCAACATACACACTATAATATTTTCAGATAAAGATAAATTTTTTTTGATGAGGAAATGAATGAAGATCTCTATGAAGATGATCTTTCAAGCTGATTTTATTTTAATTCGATTAAAGTTTAACCTTGAATATTTGGAAAGAGCAAATATTAAAGTAATTAAACGAGATTACAGAGTTACGCAAATAGGGCTAAACAAACAGAACCTATATTAATATTAGTGTTTCTTTCTTAAAGAAATAAATCGAATGCCAAATATTTAATCACTTGCATTTGTTTTTAAATTTTTTAAAAAGGGAGAAAAAAAAGAAGAAATTTGACAACAATTTTTAATAGTATTCAAGAAAATTTAATATTCCATTTAATATCATTTTTTTTAAATTTGAAAAAAAATAAATATTATTTTAATTAAAATTTATTATCAATTATTTTAATATAAAAATTTAACTTTAAAATGACCAAACTTTTACCAATATTCATCCTGCTAACTTTGGCAACGGTTTTCTGCAAGCTTGATGGTTAGTAAATTATTTTTTTTAAATATTTTTTATTATTTGTAAATATTAAAAATATTAAAAATATGACAAATTTTTCATCGTTTTTTCTCGAGTAGAGGTTAATGTGACAAAGACGAATGGTTAGGTAGAAATTTAAAATCTTTTTTCTTAAACTTATATACATTCAAATTTTTAAAATTATTTTAAGTTATTATAAATTGATGTATAAATTTGTCTAAAATAAGCAAGGTTTTTCCAAATATTATATTTTTTTAATAAATCCATTTAAAAATCCAAAAATTACAACACAAAATTAATTTTTAATTGATAATATTTAAATATTAGTAAAAATTTAAAAAAAAAAAATATTTTAAAATATAATTGCATGCATTTTTATCGATGTTTATTTATTAATGATTGAATAAAAAATATAAAATCTTTGCAGAAATATTTTTAAAAAATCAAGTCAAAATAATATCAACTAAAAAAAAATACATAATAATTTTTTAGCTTAATAAATTATGTTTTATCTAAAGCTGCATGGCAAAATTCTTTTTAGTTTGCATTCAAAATTTTAAACTCGCAATAAATTCATAAAAAATAGATTAAAAATTAGTCTGGAATCCATTTAAAATCTTATAAACTATAATATATAGCATATAAATGAATAAGGAAGATAATGGAAAGAGAGTGAGAGTTTGATTAGAACAGATGCTGTAATTTTTTATCTTTCTAGGACCATTAATATTGAAAAAATTTATAAAAATTTTATATAGCAATAACCGAAAATGCTTGGCGCATAATATTCCATTTAAATATTAAAAAATTATTCATAATTGTATATTTTATTTTTTTTAATATTTTTTCTAGCTGGAGAAAGTAATTTATAGATATTTTATTTATAACTACAATAAAACATATATCAAATTTTGCCAAAAATTAACTATTTAATTCAATATAACGTTAATTAATATTTTAATAAAATAAAATTAATTAATTCTAAATTTTATTTTAAATTAAAAAATATATTATTTTCATTTCGATTTTTTAATATACCATCAACAAAATTATATGGCCGATGAGGTTGAACAAACAATAAAATGCGTTCTACTATAAAGATTTACATTTAGAATTAAGGATGTAATAAATAAAATTTTATAAATCTAACTCTAATATGTGTAGCTGTAAAAGAATGTATGTAAACGGGTGCTATGAAGTTATGAAATAGCATATATAATTTCAGTGCAATTTCTTACTTTTAAATTTAGTAATAAATAATGATATAAATTTCTGCCTATTGTTTTCATAGAAACATTTTGGGCTAACGCGTTGCTTTGCGAATGGCATTACTTATTTAACATTAGTAATATCGTTACTATTTGTATTGAATAACGTATTTGATTGCTCTAATTAAATGCTCTAATTTTAAAATATGAAAATGTGAGGCAAAAAAATGTTTATTTAAAATTTGTAGATTATAAGCAGATTAATAGGTCTGCATTTTTATCAGATTAAGAGATAAAATAAACCACAATAAGAAATTGGCATTCAATCCTGCTCATAATAATTGGATTTTATTAAATATGATTTTTTATTACGAGCTATATGAATTTAATTAAAGATTTGTTTGCAAACCTTTTGTCATATAAATTTAAATATCATGTATATATTTTTTTTTAAATTTCTAGTTGAAGATAAAAAGGAAATACGTAAGCATCATAATTATATTGTTAATATTTAATCTCTGGAAGTAATTTATAATGTTTCGAAAGTTGTTTATAAATTCTTATGTTGCGTGAAATCAAATAAATAGAAATATATATTAATGGAAAAATTTAATAAATTAAATATCTTTTATTAAAAAAAATAATTGAAAATAATCTTCGATCAACAACTAATTAATCTTCTCCTTAATTATAAATTAATTTATTTTAAACAATATTAGACACTGTCAATTTCTAAATAATATGACATAACAACAATATGGATTCAATCTTTGTAGTTTTCAATTCTGTTTAGGGTGTTCCTAAGAAACTATTTGTCTATTCATTCACATTTGTTAAAATAACTATGAGGATGAGTTTTTTATTTCTTTCTTTCCAATGCTTTTTTTTGCGCGTAAATTCTACATCCTTTTCTAATTGTGTTCACAGAGAAAAAGGACAGTAAAAAAAGTCAATATGCTTCTGAAAACGTTAACTGCGTGTCTAATTAGACTTATATTGATATAGTTTCATAATTTTTATCATTTATAATTATATAAACAGTTAAAAAGGCTAACAAAATACGTAATTTAATATTTAGTTAAATACATATGAGTTATTAAGCATCTCACCTTTCCTTCTTTTAGGTAAAGTATATCAGTAAACCCAAGGAAAATTCTAATTTAATAAATGTGATTGATGTGAAAATTTTATGAATTATTTATATATTTTCTTCAAAATATTTTACGAATTTGAAATATTTTATTTGTTTTCTTTTTATATTTATTCTTAAAATTATTTAAACAGTAAACGACATTAGAGATAAGAGTAAAATTAAAAAATATTATACAAATCATATGAGTAAAATAATATTTCATGTCTGTTCTAAAAGAGTTCTGGTTTAGGAGAATTAATAAGCTGTAAAAACGTAATTTAAATTATGTATAATCTATTTTAAAAAGTATTTATTTTAATATTTAATTTTAACTATATAATTTTAAACGCTGAGAAATTATTTTGGATAATTGCTTAGCATTAAAAATACTTAGTCTGTGTGCTGGTTTGACTTAATTTTGGTCATTGATCAGTTTTATAAGTGTTTTTTAAGAATATTTAGTGGCATTGTTATTTTTCGTTTTTTAATTTTAAAATTTTACTTTTTCGGCTTTCACCAATGCTAAGAAGCATTCTGAAGTCAAATTAGAACATGGCGTTAAAGCTCATAATTTACTGCACTAATATTTTTTTAAATCTAAGACTATGAGCGTTTAATATATTTTTCTGATTGATTCATTTTTTAATCTGAGCTTTTTAGGTTGTAATATCTTTTTCAGTTAAATTTTTTTATTAAAGTACATTAGGAGTTTTTACTATTCCACAAGTCAAAGTCAATGAAAGGATAATTATGGAGATTGTTGCGTGAGATTTTTTTTAATTAGGGCGTATAGAAGAAGTATATTGATATTATTATGATCTTATGTCATCAAAAGAGAAAGGTTTGTTGATATAAATATTGATAGTATGACGTCAGGAGAAAATTATATATTGATATTATTAGGATGTTATGTCAACAGAAAGGCATATTGATATAAATATGATCGTGTGACGTCTGAAAAAAATTATATATTGATATTATAATTATCTTTCATTAAAAAGAAAGGTAAATATTGACATAAACATAATCGTATGACGTCAGAAGAAAATTATATATTGATATAATTATGATTGTAAAAAATATGAATTAAATTGAAAAATGCATTTTGAGAATATGAAATACTACAAAATCAGTACCAGTTGCTACGGTAAAGGAAGTAGAAAGAATATAATCCATATTCCTATATTCTTGCAAATTTACTTGAATATAACAACACATAAAGAAAAAAATAGGTAATATGGGAGAAAACTTGATGATTATGTAATATTATAATAATAATTTCATATCTAAATATAGTATTAAATTTGATAACTATTACATTGTACATTTATGATAATTCATGATTATCACTGCATGTTGTATAACATGAAAATGCGGGAAAATAAACAATAGGGTGAAAAATGTTGATTTTTATTAATATTGTAATAATATATTAATAGGCTTAAATTTATTCTGTATATATAATAAAATCTTCATAAAATATAAAGATAACGTTTCAATTGATTATAATTTAATACGACACATTTTATGCATATTTTCTAATCTGATTAATATTCTATATCACAACTTTTAAACTAATTTTTAATTTAATAAATGATAGTAATGGATCTCCCCATGACAATACCTTCAATCTAATCTTGACTTTTACCAATTTTCACAAAAAACTTTTTTCTCTATTAATTATTTCTTCTAATTGCTTTGTTGAATATCGCTCTGCACATACTACCATTATCCTTGTAATAAATTTTATTTCCATCTTAATTCTCTACTCATAAACCTAGATGTAGCACTTTCAGTTATGAAGTGAGAAAGTTATGATTAATATCTATTAGTTTCAGCTCACCTGAAATTTACACGGAAGGCTACAATTTTAAATTATTTTATTTTTATCTTTATTTTTATATTTCTTTTATTTTATATATATTAAAAATACTAAAAAACTTTTGTCTAGATATATATACAATTTTTTAATTTACACTTTTTACATAAGTTTTTTTAGAAGGTTAAATTTTAACAAATTCGTCATTAAATTAAATTAACATTTACAAAAATTATATAATATAAAAGATTATTAAATGAAATTATAAAGAAAGAAATTAAGAAAATATAAAGTTCAAAGGTCATTAAATTACAAAATAAAAAATATGAAAATTTTATATATTAACATTTCCCTCTTTTTTTAAATCTCTTTTATCATATGTTTCTTCCAGTCATTCTTCTCTCACTTTCTCAATTAGTCACTTGTTCAGATTATTTGTTTGACCATTTGTTTCTCGTTTGTTGAATTGATTATCGTACATATTTATTGAAATATCGTTGGTTGCCCATCATTGTTGATACGTCGTTGTTTGAACATTGCTTGTTGATTTGCTGTTTGTATTGATCATCACATTTCTCTTTCAAAATTATATATATTTTTTACAAAATTTTTATTTATTTATAACAATCATTTTCTATGTCGTAGTCATATTCTCGCTTTTGAACTTGACTTTGAATTTTCAACTTAAACTTGACTTTGAATTTTTGAACTTGTTCACATCTTCCTCCTTTAAAATAAAATCATTTGATATTATGTTCGTTGTTTAGCCTGAGTCATATTTTTTTCATTGTTTTGTTCGTAGCTTGTTATCCTTATCGTCTAATCATTCGCTTGAACATCATCCTCCCATTAGCTTGTTCATCTCGTTATTTATTATCATTTAGTTATCAATGTTTGTAAATTAATATATCTCGAAAATAATTTTGGAATAATTGAAATTATAATGGAATAAATAATTTATCAGAATCATTTATAAGAATAAGAATCATAATATGGAATATATTTTAAATTTTAAATTTTACTCTCTAATTTTTCAATTTAAATAATTTCTTCTTATAAGAATCTATCCTCTAATTGTTCTTTATAAAACAATTTCTTCTTCTCCTTCTATCTTCAACATACAATCTCCATATCATACTCTTAAGAACTTTTTCAACATCAAGATTTTTAATCACCTTGCCTCTCATTTTAATATTTGTTGTTTTAATTTTCTTTATTTCCAAAGTTTTTTTAAATTTTTTATTAATTATAAAATTTTTTATTTTATTATTTTCTTTAATTTTTATTTCATTATTGTTTTTAATAACTATTTTTCTACAATTGTTATGATATGATTTATTTCTTTTAATTTTAAAGAATTTATTTCTTTAGGTATTAAACTACCTCATTCAATTTTATTCAAGTTATTATTATTATGATATTTATAATTATAATTTTCATGCATTTTATTGTAATATGTACCTTCATAATCTTTGCTATCTACTTTTCTATTTTCCTCGTTTATATTTACAAATTTATTAAGTATGTTTCCAAAAACTTTTATCCACGTCCTTCCCAGAATTGCAATCTTGTCATTTTGGACTACATAAGCATCTGAGTTTGAGTCTTCATATCTCACTTTTTTAACGATTCCTAGCACCCTATTCTTTTCCCATCATAGCCAGTCAGTTTCGTATCCGATTTATTCAAGACTTAACTCCTATCTTTCTAATATTAATCGACAATATTGAATACCGCGACCCGGTGTTGATCTGCATGACCATCGGTAAATCATTAAGGTATATCGTAACTTTGTAATCATCATTTGCTATGTCATCATCATCCATTTTATTTACGTCAAATCTGTTGTTGTATGACTGATTATTGTTTCGATTATTATTATTGTATCTTGGTTTGTATCTTGATTCGTTATGATGTCTATAATTTCTATAATTGTTTTCATTATATTTGTAATTATTATTATTATAATATTTATAGTTATTGTAGTTTTTATTATAATTTTTATTGTTAAATCTTGTAAAATTATTATACGGTCTAGGCCCATTATACCCCCTATTATTATCATAATTATTATCATAGACTCTAGGATTATAATTTTTCGATATCTTGGTTCATAATTATTTGCATGTCTCGAATTATCGTATCTCGGTTTCCACTGATATCTATGTACGTACAAATTCATCCTTTTATCGTGCTCATATTTCATCATCCTTAAATTTTTTTTTACTACCTAAATAATCTTGTAATTTATGAATTTTGTTTTATCATTATTGTCCTATATAGGTTTTATTCATATTTTAAATATTTCATCATTAAAATTTTATTATATTTATTTTTCATTTTACATTTTACATTTTAATCAACTCTTACGTCATCATTTTCCATAATCCTATCCCACCGCTGCCACCATGAAATTTACACGGAAGGCTACAAATTATTTTATTTTTATTTTTCTTTTATATATATTAAAAATACTAAAAAACTTTTGTCTATATATATACAATTTTTTAATTTACACTTTTTACCTAATTTTTTTAAAAGGTAAAATTTTAACAAATTCGTCTTTAAATTAAATTAAAATTTACAAAAATTATAAAATATAAAAGGTCATTAAATGAAATTTTAAGAAAATATAAAGTTCAAAGGTCATTAAATTACAAAATAATGCAAATTTTATATATTAACATCACCCAATTCTCTGGTTTGTAAATTATATTTTTGGAAATGAAGCCATTTCTGCCACCTCATTACACAGAGGTAAGCGCTTGTTTAATTACCTTAGTTTGTAATAATATTAAAAATTCATAAGATTTAAACAATAGTCCATTCATTGTCCGATATTAATTCTATTGAATGATCGAATCTAGAAAAAAATCTTGTTTTATTCAATTTTAGTAGCATATGCATTGTTATAATCAATTTTTTACGAAGATTTGTTCTGTAACTACAGATGTCAATTTATTGAATACATCAAAATTAGTTTTAGGGTTTTGATAACCATCATCACAATCTAAAATATTAATAGGGTCTATTTAATTAATTTAAATAATCTATCACAAATTCATTGGTATTCCACTTTTCAATAATTAATTGTTGTTTTTATTATTTGAAAGTCTTCAAATTCCTTGATAAGCAAGGATATGATTCATAAACCAACATCCATCATTAAATAAAAACTAAGATCAATATTGAAATGATTAAAATAGCTAATTTTTTCCCATAATCTTAAATTGTGGATTTTTTACTGTGGTCTTAATTTTCATCATCAATTCTCTTTTCTATTCATCTAATATTTCTGTGCCATCTCTATCCTATAATATGGTTTCTTATTAACCATAAACATAATCATACTATCGCTACAGTCATCTCTCCTTGAAGCATTTTCCCATACCTTGTCCCTTTCTACTAACCCGTCTTCCTGTTTTAACAAATAATTCACTAATATGTAGTTTCATATTTCCCTCCGAAAACTTACTAGATCATGCACTCACAGTGTGGCAAGAGTCTCCTGATACAATTTTTCCCATATTAATATCTTTTCACCCCTAATATTGAAATCTTTTACCAAAGATAAAATAGAAGGCCACGAATAGCTGGAAGCCCAGCCAATCAAAAACCTGGGAATCTCTCAACCAATAAACAAAGAGTGATTAAGATTAAGACATCGTTACAGAACTAAATGTCAAGGTAAGGTATGGCCATAATTGCATCCAAAGATAAAGGAAACGACACTTTTGAATAAACAAATTAGGGTTACCTACCTAATAATTTAGAACCTTGCAACCTCTAAACGCATAAGACCCAATAGTCTGATCACTACCACCTGGGCCATGTGCAAATCATTTGGTATTATACATGTATCTCTTATTTCACTACCAATAAAAATAGAAACCTACTTATTCAAGCAGCTAAAAATATACAAATACAAAAATTTCAGAAATTTTATATTATCGCCAATTGCAACGTCTACCAATAATTGTTCGCTCCTATAAATTTTAGTTTTTCTTAAAAATGCTCACAAAATTAAATCGAAACATTTAAACCTAAAGAATTCCTATTCCTCAGTCAGAACATACAAATAAACATATATTTAGGAATCAATTTGCTTTTCTAAAAATTATTT